TATGTATATAAAGACTAATAATAGTATGTTATGCATCGATAGCAGCAACAGCTTTTCCAGGTTCTGCAGTCATCTGAACAAGATTATAGACATTCAGCAAATTCCATAAAAAAAAAAACCAAAGAAAAGAATAATATCCAGACAACAGCAAAGTTCTGTTGCAAACACCACGAGAAAATGAAAGTGAGTAACGTTAGTTTGTACTAAGTCAAATCCTCACAAATTCATAGTAGGAATCTTCCAGGAGGAATTCTATTTTTTTGAAAAATATTAAAGAGATCCCCCCATCAAACAATCATAGAATGGAGAAATTTTAAGAAATATGAACCAAAAAAACCTTCATATTCAACACAAAAGTTTAGAAAGTCAGCAACATAACAGACAAGACAAAGCAGGTTCACTTTAGAAATACAGAAATGCATCTAAAAGAAGGTGAACACATTTTATGAAAACTAACAATGCTGGCAGAGTAAGAATACTATTAAAATTGAAGGTTGAGGAAAGCAGTTTTCCATAATAATCTGAAAAGCCCCTCAATTTTCCTAATATCTGGAAGAGTGCAAGGTGAGAGCCAAGCGGAGTCCATCCCAGAGCTCTTTGGTGACACAGAGCTATGCCAGTATTTCTGGAGTCACATGCCCACAAGTGGTCTCCTTGGACTCTCTGGCCTTTTCAAAATCAAAAGAAGAGGGCCGGGGATTTAGCTCAGTGGTGCCGGTGCCCGTCTTGCAAGCACAAGTTCATGAGCTTTAAGCCTGGTACCAAAAAATCAAAAGAAGAGTGAAAGTCCTAAGGCACTTAGACCTTCTCATCAAATCCCTTGCTGAGTCACAGACATTAAGAAGTATTTTTCAGAGGGAAATGTACCTGGTACAGGTGAGCTGATCAGGTGGACTCTCCCAGCAGCTGTGGTTCAGACAAGCTCTGTTGGTCATGCGGGCAAGGTGCGGGTCTCCAAGTTGTATTTGTACCTTCAGGATTGCAGAGCTCTTTGCTACCACACAGTGTCACCAAGACTTTCATGTTCGGAGCCATCACCCTTTCAGGGGGAAGGAAGCCCTCTACAGAACGCCATCTCCCTGCTGTACAAATTGCCTCTCCCTTCACAATTACTCTGTTTGGCTCAGAAGTTCTCTCAGGCTTAATTAGGTTTAATTATTTTAATAGGAGGAAGTAAGAATGAATAACCAGTGAAGTTTTCATGTCTAGAGTTTGCCCCTTCTGTGGGGCTCTCTGCGCAGCTCCAAGGTGGGACTCAGACTGGGACCAAGTTCTGAGACACAGAATGAACCCCTGCCCTTTCCTAGTCAAGGTCCTTGTTCAAACACAGGGACACAGGAAGCAGTCACCAGCTCTGGGACTCAGATGCCTGGGTCAGTTCCAACTGTGGATCAGCACAGAACAGCGGTCACCCTGCTCTTCCTGCTAACAGTGGCCACTCGGAGATGTGGTCATCAGTTTCCTTTATCCTTTGTCCATTAAAAAAGAAATGGGAGTGAAACCTAGTTAGGCAAACACTCCTTTCAAAAATCTAGTCCTGTGGTATTCAGCTTCAAGGACACTTTTACATTTGAATCACACAGGGATGGTTCTTCTTCTATCTATTGCTCATTCTACTGCCTCAGAACACACTTCTAGTCCCCTATGCAAAGGAATGTAAATAAATGAAATCAGAGATACAAATGGCACCATTTGCCCAGAAGCAGGAGCAGCTCAGGACTGGGGGCCAGGCTGTCGGTCACAGGTCTCCCTTCATTGGCTGTGTGATGTGTCATTATCTGCAGGTGCAGTCACCACACAATAGAAGCTACATTTCTTGTGCCATAAGTGAAGGAATAGCTTTTTGGTATGACTGTAATTCCCATTCCCTGAGGTTGAGCATGAAAATCTACACTCAGGGGTTTTGAGAAACTTGTACATGGTAGATGGTGGGGTAAATAGAAATGGAATGATAGCTAGAATTAATGTCCCCTGGTGCAACAAGGAGTGCTGTCCTCTGTCACTTTCCGTAGAGTATGTTGATTAGCAGACTTCAGTTTCTCTTCCTGCTACTCTGAGAAGCACAGGCTCCTTTGCAGCACCTGTGTGTCCCCCTTGCAAATTCAACACCCAGGAATACTGTGCCAAGGCCTGCAGACCCCTCTGGATCTGCAGCCATGAAGGAAGACAGTGCCTGAACCCCTGATTCAGAGTCGGAGCCCAGCTTCTCTGGTGCTCGGCCCCGAGGGGTGCAGTTCTCCCCTATAAAACAACACCAGACCCTAATAGTTCCTCTGATTGAGGAAAATCGGCTGACCTCGACAGTCACCAAATCCCTACACAACTCAGGATGAGCTCTGTGTGTTAAACGGATTATCAAGTCCTCCTACCTGAGGGTGAGCTGTCATTTCTCTTCAAAAAGTTCATTTCATGGGCTCCACCTGAGTGGCTGTAAAGATGCATCTTCCCCATTGCCAGTATCTTTAGTGCATCTTGTGTGACAAGTGTCCCATTCTGTTTAAGGCTTTTTTCAATAATAACATTATTTTCCTCTTTTAGTATAGGTTTTGTCGGTCAGCAAGCAACTGTAAGTACCTTTGCTCAATGCACAGATATTAAAAACCGTGATTCAGATTTGAACCTGGCGAATCTGATCAAAGAGTGCAACCCCCCTCATCACCCGCTGTGTCCCGTGCTGCTAAGCTCAGGTGTCCTTCGGGGTCTGTCTGTCTGTCCATCTGTCCTGGAAAGCTGGGCCTCTCATCTCTGTGTGGCTCATACCTCTCAGTGAATTCATAATCGCCCCCAGTGGAGGAGTGGAGCACAGTAACAAGGGTAACACGTCTTTCCAAATCCCATCTCTCTGGGAGTAGACTGGTCACCATCACCTTCCTACAGGGGTCTCTGGGATGGGAATGTGTACCTCCCCGAGCCATTGCTAGTTCTCACTCCACCTTTACCCTATTTTCCTAGGGTGACTTTGCACGTGTAAAGAAGACACTGAAAATTAGTTATTGAATCTTTCCAATACCCTGTGGTGCTCCTTTGACACAGAAGAAAATGCAGGTTCCAAACTGTCCTGTACATGGCCTGAAATTGTTTCCCAAGTGATAGGCTGTTACAATTGAAGCATCTTCTCCCAGCCATTTAACAAACTTAAAAATTGAGCAGTAGTCATAGTATCTTGACTTTGATTTGTTTGACTTTTTGATGGTCTAAGTACCTTGACTGTAGGCAAAGACGGTAGATTCTTAAGACTGCAAATGTTAGTTACTATGGGATCAAACATATCTTTTTATAAATATTTCCCTTGAGCCTCTCTCCTAACTTTCTGTAAGACAGTTACAGCACAGTGCCCATTAAAAGGCTCTCTATAATGTTAAATGTGAATGTTCGCTGTGATGGAATGACCAAGCTCCATGACTTGCCATAACTGTGCACCTTCCCCTTTTGCAGTAATTAACACACGCTCTGTATTCATTTCAGCTTTTTCCATTTTCCGGTTATGGTGATGCAACCTACCAATGTTTTCATTCTCATTTGTACCCCATGGCTGGACTGATGCGTCTTAGGGTAGCTCAGTCACTACTGTTTTAAAGAACCTCCATGCTGTTCTTCTTACTGGCTACGCTTATTTTCATTCCCACTCAGCCTCGGTCAGGGTTTCCAGTTTACAAAATCCCCACCTCTTCTTGTTAGCTCTTCTCTTTTGATAGTAATTATAAGTGTATGTGGTGATATCTCATTGTGGTTTGTATCTGCATTTTTAGAGACTTAGTGAAGTTAAACATTTGTATGTCTTCTCCAGATAAATGAGTGTGTAAGACTATTGCCCATTTTAAACTCAGGTTGTTTGTTATTTTCTTTTAGCTTTTGAGGGATTCATGCTTTGTTTTGTTTTGGTTTGGTTTTTGTTAGTGAGGTATCACTTTATCTTGTTATTGTTTCAGGGGTTGTTTGGGCTTTTATTTTTGTTTCTTTCTTTGTTTTTAGCTTTTTTATTTCTGTCTACCAGGGGTCAAACTTAGATCCTTGAGCATGCTGATAAGTGCTGTTAGAGATTTGTCCCTGTAACAAGGGCCAATGAGATTTGTCATTATTATGTACCTGCTGCATATTAACCCCTTGTTAGATAGTTTGCAAATTTTTTTCAATCACTCAGTAGGTTCTCCTCACTCTTTAGTCTTCTACTCTGGGAGTGCCACTTCATAGAATTCCTTTTTGTTTCCTGTTCTATTGTATCTTCAAAATCATTATTCATTAGGATTTCTTAAATTTTTCCCTTATATTTTCTTCCACTACTTTCATAGTTTCTGCTCTACTATTCACATCTTTAATGCATTTGTGTGGGGTTTTTAGCTGGTGTGTGTTAAGAATCTAGTGCTACTTTTCTGCAATATTTATTCGATTTTCCATCCATACATTTTTTTCAAATAATTGCTCTTTCTCTAAATCCTGTACATTGTTTAGTAAAAATATTTACAGGAGAAGTGTGGACTTCTAGAATCTCTGTTCTGATCCACTAGCATCTGTTTCTGTTTTACGCAAATTCCATGACAGTCTTTTTGAAGCAACACATTTGTTGGTTCATTGTGGATAGACATAACGATAGCACTCATCCTAGGGAATATGTACCTGTACATGATAAATCCTGCATCAAGGACCTATCAGAAATTCCCATATCAGGAAAACAGAGTGGGCTCAAATAAGCAGCCTAATGTTGAACCTCAAGCTTCTAGAAAAAGAAGAGCAAGTCAATCCCAAATCTTATAAGAGGGAGGAAAATATAAATATCAGAGCAAACATTAAGGCAACAGAGCCTAAATATAAAGTACAAAGAATCAATAAATCAGAGTTGGTTCTTTGAAAGACTAAATAAAACTGACAAACTCTTAGCCAACCTTGTACAAAAAAGGAAAGAAAAGACTCAAATTCATGCAATTAGGAAAGAAAGGGTGAAATCATAAGAGATACTGCTGAAATCCAGAAGATTATCAATGCCTACTTTAACAACCTGTATCCTAATCAGATGGGAAACACAGAAGAAATGGAAAGTTTCTTGGCTACAAATGAATTTCCAAAATTAAATCAAAAGGTATAAAAATTCTAAGTAAACTGATCTCAGTCAGTGAAATTGAATTAAAAAGTTACCAACAAAGAAAAGCCCAGTTCCCTGAGGATTCACTGCTGAATTCTATTAGAACTTTCGAGAAGACCCAATGTTGCTACTTGTCAAACTCTTTAATGAAATTGAAAGGGATGCAATACTCCCATGTGGATTCCTTAAAGCAAGCACTACTTTGATACCAAAACCAGAGAAGGATCCAACCAAAATGAGACCTACAAGGCAATCACCTAATGGACATAGATGCCACAATCCTCGCTCAGCTGCTAGCAAAGAAAATGAAACTCCTGGGTGAGAGAAACTTGTCTCCAGCAGCCCCAGGCAGCACAGGGTGAGCTCTGAGAGCGCAGTGAGACACAGGCTGCAGCAGTGGAGGAGCTGGAACTGGGCCTGCAGGGGAGGACACCCTGGGGCTCTGACCCCAGGTCTGCTCCTCTGGACACCAGTAGGGGCCCTGCTCTCTAGCCTCCTCCTCTCAGTCCTGTGTAGTGACAGCTGAGATTGTGAGGGGGGTTAGATCAGAGAATGGGCCCCTTCCATGGGTAGAAAGGAAATAGGCCTCTGCCTCTTAGCATACAGCAGAGGTGAGCTGACAGCCTCTGATCCTGAGACCTGTGTCTGAGGAGCTACAAGGGGCTCACAGACTGCATGGATACTCAGGACTGCGCAGGCAGCACTGTCCCCCTCACGCAGGTGTCCATGCCTACCCACAATCCCCTGGTCAACCACAGGACCAAACCCCGAGCAACAACTATATTATCACCATTCCTCTGTCAACCCTCAGTGGGGTGGAGAACGGACCCTACCCCATCAAACAGGACGACTGACCCCAGATTCAGCAGCGACCCCTCTATGAGCACCCCCATTCCTCCATGGAGCTCTTTACCACTTCCTCTTGCAAAACCCACAAAAAATTTACCATCTCTTTGCAGTGGACTCCTATTCTAACTCCTCTTCTTTCTACCCAGAGAGAAAGACAGGCCCAATCAGAGTGAGTCTGGTGACCTCTAGATCTCACACCCACCTGAAGTCACACTGCTTGCCTTACAGAGCTCAGAGAAGCACAGCTGCTCGCGTGGTTACAGAAATAACATGACCTGATGGTGGGTCATAGTCATTTCCACTCAACTCCATTCTGTTTTCCCACAGGAAGTGGACAGGACCCTGGGAAAAGACATACAGGGTGGAGGTCAAAGAAGTGTGAGTTACCCAATCTACCCAGCTGCTAGGGTGAAAACAAAGTCAGCCACTTCGCCTGGGCCCATCTTTATTGTGTGACTGAAAACTAAGCAAGAGAGGATTTCTGAACCTGGTACTAGGGAGCCAGAGCTGATGTGCAGTTCTGATAGTAAGGCCCACACACCCCTGTCAGCTTGACCTGGGAAGTAACTTCAGAGTTGAGGCTCCCGGTGGGTAAAGCAGTTTACTGAGAAGCTTTGAAATAAAGATACTGACAAATAAGTGCAGACATCCTCAGTGCCCCTCTCAAGAGGGACAAGGACTGACTCTTAGGCGTTCAGTGGCACACAGGTCAGGACACAGCACACAGCACCCCAGAGGTCTCCTCTGAGATGAGCAGAACGAGCCCTTTCCCCTGGGGAGCCCAACATTCCCAACAGACACTGATGTCTTGACAGCAGTAGGAGCTGGAAGGAAGTCCCGGGACTAGGAAGGATAAACAGGGCCTGGTGGTGCTGCCTACAGAACTCGCACACCAAGCTGGCTGCACGGGGTGCACAGGTGAGTGCCCCTGACTCTGAGGATTGCAGCTGCCAAGGAAGGGAGCTGGGAGGCAGGTGGGTCAGGGCAGGTGGGGAGATAGGGAACAGGAACCCAGGCTGATGTGGAGAGGCAGGTGCCAGAACCTAGGGCAAGGACAGCCCATCACTGACCAACTGTCACTCACAAACTGTCTCGTGGGTCCTAGAGGGAGCCCTGTTCATCATTTCGGTTGCACTAGGGCCCAAGCTGATGATTTTCTACAGGACTGGGAGGCACTGGGGACCTGGGGACTCCACGGCGTGTCAGCCTGGCTGTGGGGGGCGCTGCTTCTCTGCAGTCTCCCCTCCACCACTATGCATTTTCCCTCTTTGCAGGGGGAATTTGCACTTCAGTGTTTCCTAGGTTCTGTGTTATTTGTGTTGTCCCTCAGCCTTCTGAGAATGTCACTTTCTGGCCTTCTTTATTAAGATTTCTAAGACTTTTTCAAACTATTGCAGATTTGTCTTTTAAACTAACATCCCAGGTGGGAAGCTGAATGTGATAGACTAACGGAACTGTGCACAGACTGTACAGCGCTGCTTCTCTGCAGTCTCCCCTCCACCACTATGCATTTTCCTTCTTTGCA